CCATGGTTGAGCGCGCCAGCAAGTTCGTGCTGGTGGTAGCGGGCTCGGCGTGCTTCATGCTCATCCTGTATCAGTACGCGGGCCCCGGGCTGAGCCTGGGCGCGCCCGGGGGCCGCGCGCCGCCCGACGATCTGGATCTCTTCCCCACGCCGGACCCGCACTACGAGAAGAAGTACTACTTCCCAGTGCGCGAGCTGGAGCGCTCTCTGCGCTTTGACATGAAGGGCGACGACGTGATCGTCTTCCTGCACATCCAGAAGACCGGCGGCACCACCTTTGGCCGCCACCTCGTGCAGAACGTGCGCCTCGAGGTGCCCTGCGACTGTCGGCCAGGCCAGAAGAAGTGCACCTGCTACCGTCCGAACCGCCGCGAGACCTGGCTCTTCTCTCGCTTCTCCACGGGCTGGAGCTGCGGGCTGCACGCTGACTGGACCGAACTCACCAACTGCGTGCCGGGGGTGCTGGACCGCCGCGACCCAGCCGCGCTGCGCACGCCCAGGTGAGCGCCTGCTTTGGGCGGGAGTGATGGGAGTTGGCGGGGAGCGACGGGTCACGGCTCCACCCGGCAGTCAGGCTAGCTATGCCCTCCTTGCTCTCTTGGGGCCCCTTCCGATTTGCCTGCGCACAAGACCCCCGTCTCATCTGCTTCTGCAGCTGCCACCCCTGACCTCTGACCTATCCTTTCACCCTCTCTTCTGCGCCTTCTCACCACCGGCCTGACTGCGTAGTCCCGGGACTTCCTCCTGGGTCATCGCCCGCTGCCCTCTGGCCGCCGCACCCGCGGTGCACGGCTGGCTAGCCTGAGAGATAACCCTCGAGTTCTAAAGGTTCAACCTGGGTCTAGGGGCGGAAAAGCAGGTGTATGTGTGTGTATGTGTAACCGTGCCTGTCTAGAACCAAAAGTGGAGCGAGAAAAAGCAAGAGAAATGAGGTCCCGCTCCCCCCAACCCCAACTGCGAGGTCTCCAGCCTCCTGGGCCTGCCAGCCTGCCGTCCAGGGAATGGGGAGGAGCTGCCAGGAAAGGGGTGGGCTCTGCCTGCCGGTGTGTGCAGGTAGAACAAAGGCCTGTGTGACCCGGGTTGGGGGTGGGGAGAAGACTGCACTGGCCTCCCCAGGCATGAATGGGAAACAAAAGCTCTGGTTGAGAGCTACCTTTCCGAGGAACCACCAAGCCAAGTTAGGGTTGGCTGTTCTGGTCAGGGGTACTTGTGCAGCCTGACACCTTCCACCGGAGCCGTTCGTTCTCCCCCTTGTCTGTTGGGCGGGGCGTTGGTGGTGAGGGGGATTAGGGCAGCTCAGGAAGTACTGAGTAAGAGGAGGCTCTCCTGTCTGGGGTTCCAACATTTGAAGTTGAGATTGTTTTCCTGCTGTTCCTGTTGGTGCCCATCATCCTTTGGGGATGCCCCAGGTGGCTACTTCTCCTGGATGTCTGCTGGGAAGCGGCCAGGAGTAAGGGATTTCGTGCCTGCCTTTGTTTCTCTTCCCTATTCGATTTAGGACTAAATTTACAGATGAGCTTGAGGACGGGTATAGGCAAGTCTTGGCTGATGTAGGTATTTTCTTTGGTATTCTTGGGCCAGGAAGGGTCCAGCTTTCTGGTAGGGTTGGGGGAGGGCTCTCCAGGGTCCAGCTTGCCCGGAGTTGTTGTGGACCACAGCACTGTTTCATCACACAGTCTCTAGTCTTTTCCTGGGGCCTTTTTTAGACTGTCAGAACTCTAGGATACTTTTTTTTAGTGGGTTCGGTGAGTATGCGTGCGCACACATATCCCCAGCAGCTTTCAGCCTTCAGAGGTGTTCCAGGACCCTAAATGTGGATATAGAGCTTCCTTCCCAGGCCTTCAAACTGCTTCCTGTCCATCACTAGCTCTGTCACACACACGCACATGCACATACGTAATGGTCCTCTGGTCCAGACATACTACACTTAGATGGAGCTAGGTCTGGACTTGGCAGCTGTCCAGTCTTCTACTAATCAGGGCTGTGGGCACCCAGTGTTGGGCACTGACAGATGCCAGCAGGCCCAGGGGAGTCCTCCCTGCCTGCGGGAGGTGGGGGTTGGGGCAGTGGGCACCCTCTGTGTAGGTGGCCCCAGGTAAAGTCTGCATGCTGCTCTTGGAGCTCCAAAGAGGCCAGGCCATGGGGTGAGTCTTCCCAGCCGGGACGACCTTGGCCACAGATTGTAGCTAGAGTCTTCTTACAACCCTGTGAATTCCCAGAGCACAGAGCCCCAGGTGGCCTCACAGCCAGGAGTGGGAGGTGCATGGGAGGCAGATGGGCCCCAGGTGCTGCATGCAGGCCTCTGCTGCCTGGAAGTATGCATTGAGCAAGGATGGAAAATGCTGTGCATGTCAACTGCATGCTTCTTGCAGTGGACTGCCGATCCCTCAGCCAGGATGGTGCTGACTCAGCATCAGTGGACTGGGTTGGGGAGGGGCTTCCAGAGCCCTTCCAAGATCTCAGTTTTACCATCTAGTATGTGATACCACCATGTGCTTCTGTGACATTCTTCACCTCTCCCCTTTTGTTTCTGTTCTAGGCACAAGGGTAGATGGCTTTTTTTTTTTTTTTTTTTTTTTTTTTTTTTTGGTCTTTTTGAGCCAGAGTCTTTCCTGTAACCCCAGCTGTCTGGGACTCACTATGTAGACCAGGCTGGCCTTGAACTCAGATCTGCCTGCCTCTGCCTCCCAAGTGCTGGGACACCCCATGTTGTTGTTGTATCATCTTCCACCCCCCCCTTTTTTTTTTTTTTTCAGGCCAAGGGGAGGACTGTTTTTTTTTTTTTTTTTTTTTTTTTTGTCAAACTAACCCAGGAGACTCTGCATTGACCTCCTAGCTGCACCTGGGTTCCCCTGGTGCACTCTCACCCTGACACTCTCAGGGTGTCTGGTGTTGAGTGATGCCCAGTGTCATCCTTGCAGGCCTGCCCCTCTCCAGCCCCTTTGTGAACTGTGAGGGGTGGGTCTTACTTTCCTCTTCTCTGTGCCCTCAGGGCTGTGGCAGGGCTTGCACACCCGACTGCCTGCCCCAAGGCACACTTTTGGAATCCTTCCACTGAATCCCCCAGCCTCTGGTGCCAACGTCCACAATATGGGGAAAGGGTAGAAGTGAGCTGAGCTGTAGGGACATGGACTCTGTCCTGTTCCCAGCCTTCCCATAGCAGAACACACCTGCCTGTGGCTATATTAAGCTGAATACACAAATGGAGATGGTCAGGTTTTCCTCACCTTCCTCAGTTTGGAGTTTCCAGCTACTCTTAGTGTTTCCTGCCTTGCTAGAGGAGCAGGTTTGTGAGCAAAACATTGGAGTCTCTGTGGTCTGTCTGCTTTAGGGGCCTATGGTATGAGTCTAAGGGCTTATAAGACCAACTTGGAAAGATGGAAGGGTTGCTGGCTAGCCTTGGACAAATGTAGCTGCTGGGGATGGCACCCGGGCCAGAGAGTCCTTTCTGGTGGACACAGCATGCCCCTGGAACACAGTGAAGCCCACAGTTATTGATCACTGTGAGCTTAATCCAGTGTTCCTGGGTGGAGGGTGTGGGGAGGTTTGGCTGCCATTCTGACTGGGGTAATACCAGTAGTCCAGATCTAGTAGCATCCAGTAAGGAAGGAAGAGGAGGAGCCTGGCATTGTAAGGGACCTTGAGGTTTTCTCTCACTCTTTTGTTGTAATAGTTTTGTGGTAGCTGAGCTAGAAGACAGCCCAAGGGAGAGAAGAGAAGTCCTTGGGCTCCGCACCCATAGTTTCAGTCCGAGAACCAGGTTGTTGTGAAAAGCTTACTCTGTGTAGCAGCTGCCATCGGGTGTCCATTCTTGGCTATTGCATGTTGAGCCCTACAGGTTTTCTCTTCCTTTACTCCTGTGAGGAATGAGTGTTGAGTACATACCCTATGTGCAAATATTTCACATAGCTCTGATTTCCCTTGGAAGTTCCTTCAAGTGGACGATCTGCACTGAATGAATGTTTTGCAGCTCCAGAGAGCAGCAGGTTTAATTGACTTTTCAGGAGGTCTTCGCTTCATGCATTCCAACCTGTGTATTAGAGCATCTTTCCCAGTCACAACCTGAGTAGGGTCACAGTTGTGGGTTTTAAAAAGGTTTTCTTGGTCTGAGAATGTATGTGGATGATAGAGTGCTTACCTAGCATTCAGGAGGTCCTGGGTTCAATCTCCAGACTGTATAAAACCAGGCATGGGGGCACAGTCTATAATCCCAGCACTCCAGGAGGTAGAGACCAGAGGATCAGAAGGTCAGGTTTATCCTGGCTTTATACTGAGCTGCAGCCCAATATATGCAAGACTGTCCCTAAAACAAACAAAAATAACAAAAAGGTTTTTTTTAAATTTTTCTTTAAAGGTTAAATCTGAACCTGGGAGCCATTCTTTTAAAAAATGCTTTTATTACATTTTTCTTATTTTGTGTGTATGTGTGTGTTTGCATGTGTGTGTGTACATGCGTGTACACGAGCAGGTACATGTGTGCCACAGTATGCATGTGGAAATTAAAGGACAACTTGCAGGAATAAGTTCTGTCCTCCTACCACGTGGGTCTTGGGGATTGAACTCAGCTTCTCAGTCTTGGCAACAGGTACTTTTACCCACTAAGCCATCTCACTGGCCCCAAAAAGTTATTTTTTAATTAGCAAAAAGTACCTATCTTGGGTTTTTTAGTGCAAAGCCCTGTCCCACCCATATGCTTATAGGGGACTGAGTGTGGCTGTGTCCTTGGCACCCCAGTTGCCTCCCCACCTGTTGGGGGATGTCTGCAGCTCCCAGGGATCAGACAGCAGACAGAGAGGCTGATAGAGCAGAATTTGTTGTCTCGGGTAATCTCAGCTGGCCCCTGCTGTGACTTAGGTCCTTTGTTCAGGAAGCTCCATCCCCAGTGTGGTGATATTGTGCTTTTGAGCCTTTAAGATGTAATTTGGTCATTTGAGGACATCTCCCTGAAAGGGATTGATGTAGCTCACTCAGGGGTGGGTAGACCCTAGTTAGTTTTTGAGAGGATTTTTAATAAGTATGAACACCTATCCAGCACCATGAGGCCCTCACTATATGCGAACTGCTGCTGGCACCATGCCTTGAACCTCCCAGAACTGTTAGAAACCATTTTCAATTTGCAAAGCACCCAGCCTCAGGGATTCCATTATGATGGTAGAAACAATCTGAGACAGTCTTCAACACCCCCATAAAGCAGGTATATGAATATTGACCCATTTTTCCACTAAAGGAAGTCATGATCTGGAAAGCTTGTAGAATACCTAAACCTGGAGGGCCAGGGGCCAGGATTTGATTATCTGTCCATCCTGAAGCTCTGTGCCTCTACCAGCCCCTAGCTGGCTCCTGCCTCACAGCAGGGAGGATTGTCCCTGGGTGACAAGGGCAACCACAGGATTCAGACCATGCAGGCCTCCCAGACCTGGATAGAAATGAACAGTTTTACATGAACTTGCATCATCAGGTTTACTGGAAAACAGCTTGACATTCTTTACCCCACAGCTGC